ATAATTTTTTTTTTTTTTTTTTAAATCTCGCTAGCAGGAATAAAATTTTCAACTTGAAAACAAATCGTTTGAACGTACAATTATTCGAATAAAAAATAATAAAAATATTATTTCTTTTTATTTAATTTGTTTGATTTTCTTTTAAATTCAATTTAAAAAAATTTTAAAAAGAGGAAAATAAAAAGTAGAGTCGAGTGAACAAATCTTTTTTTTTTCTTCTTCTTCTTCTTCTTTTTATTTCTTCTTCATGTTTTTTTTTTTTTCTTTTTTCTAAATTTGTTGATAAACTTTTGCGTTCTAAGGAAGAGATGTAAAAGAAAGTGAAAGTGGTTAAAACTCGTTAAATGAAATCTAGCGTATCGTGGGTTTCCCTTAAAAGAAAAAATGACAAAAAAAAAAAAATGAATAAAAAAAAAGTGCAAATCCTTGTCAAAGGTACATCGGGACGAATGAGAAAGAAAAAAGAACATACACACACAAAAAAAAAGCAGGACACGCGAGATTGAACGTCGAACCGGTCTGAGGTACCTCGGAAGAAAGTGAAAACTGACGAGATAACTTCAGTGTTGCCAATGAAATTTCTCATTGTAATAAAAAAAAAAAAATAAAAAAAACCTTCATTACCTTCATTCCCTTTCCCTTTTTTTTCTCTCTTTTTGCAAATATTTTCTTATTTTTTTTTTTTAATCTTTTTATTTAAATATTTATAAACATATTTATAAACAAGTAATAAGCAGAAAAAAGTTTCGAGGGAATAAAAAAAAAAACGAAAGAAAAAAAATAAATACGCGTTCGATTCAATTTTAATTGCAATTCAATTTTTTTTATTATTTTTTTTTTTTTTTGTAATAAAAGAAAAATTTTATGTTTTTTTTCTTCTTTTTTTTTTCGTTAAATTATTCCGATGATAAAATGTTAATTGTACTGTTAATTATTATTGTTATTATTTTTTTTTTATTACTGTGTCAAGTAAATGGGGATATATTTTCTGTATAATTGAGATGACCAATAATAATAATAATAATAATAATAATAATAATACTTTTAAGTACTATACAAAAATATATACTGAAAATAAATATATACTGTATATATGACATAAATATATGACTATAAATGACAATGCAATATATATATGCAACATTTGATTAAACTTACTGACAAATTATTTATATATACTCAATATACATTACAAATAGATATTTAAATAACAATTCAATAAATATACAACATTTTATATATTCTGACCTATTATTTATATACATATATACTGAATATTTATATATTTATATATACTTAAAGTAGATAATCAATGTTGCAATATATATGCAACATTTGATAATTCTGACAAATTATTTAAATAAACTCAATATTTAATTTATTAAAAAATATTATTATTTCATTGATTATATCTATTGTAGAAATTTTTAAGAATATATACAAATTCATTGTTTATAAAAAAAATTAATCAATTAACTACAATTTCACATTATTGTGAACAACAACACTTTGTTTCAAATTGATCGGTGTACGAATACTTTTAACACACATTGTATATTGAAAGTAAATATTTAAATGACAATTCAATAAATATGCAACATTTTATATATTCTGACCAATTACTTTTTTATTAGATTTTATTTCAATGTATCTTATATAAAAATTAAAAAAAAAAAAAAACCAAATCTCAATTAAATTTAATATTACAACATTTAACAGAAGTAATTATTTTTCATAAATAATTTAAACAAAATTAAATATATACAAAAAAAAAAAGGAGACTAAAAAACAACTTTGATGATACGATTTTATTTAAAAACAGATTAAAACAGATTTACTCTTTGAAATTACGTCGAAGGTTGCAACATTTAATTGAAGTTTCCGTTCAGTTTAGGTACAAATTTAAACACACAAAAAATCCAATTTGCCAGGAATTTAAATCATCTCTATCATTATTCTTTTTTTTTTTTTTTT